AGCTTGAGCTCTTCCCCTTGTCTCCTCCACTTAAAAAGACCTGTCTGTAGCTGTCTTTGTGGAGAGAATATTCTTTTTCTCTCCAGCTTCTGTGAACTTTCATCCCAGCACCTCTCTAGTTCTTGATCTTGCCTTCATTCCAGTCTCGGTAGCTAGCTCTGACCATGCCGAGAATTCTTGTGAAATGCTTCTATTTTCTAGCACGCTGGCAGATTTCTGTAGTGTACTAGGCATGGGATTTTAAATTTCATTAAGAACAAGTAAAACTGCCTGTTCATCTCCTTTTAGGCTTTCTGGGATTCCCAGAGCAAAAGCATTTATTCCTTGCATAATCCTGCGTTGCTTTCAGATTGTGTGATAGATTAAGGTCCTCTCCGGGAGTGCTTTTGCAGAAGCAGCATGCAATAGCAGCACTTTGGTGTGCCACGAGGAAGTGCCTGGGCTGACTGCGATGGTTGCAAGCATGGTTTCTTAAATCTCCACATTTCTTCTGAATGCGGAGAGAGCACAGTAAAGGCACAATGCTGGGAAAAGGCAATTCTTTCCCTGTAAAGATTTTTAGTCTTTGCTATGTTAAAGATTGGGACTATTCAAAAATCACTGATTCTGTTGCATGACACCCGGTCATGTAACTTGATTCACCATGATGAAACAGCAGAGAAACTGAAACGAGATTTAAACTGGTTATAATGTTGAAGCTTCAGTTTTGATCTCTATTTCACTAACACTTCCACCGCTTGTCACTGCACTGGAAATGCCCGGTTAAGGTGGTTTTGGTCCTCAGAGGAGATATGTTTTCTGATTAAGTACCACCTTTCAGAGTGAGGTTACATGAAGTGCGATTCCCTGACGTGGTTTGTGGATCATTGTTCTTAACAGCCTCTGGGAGTCTTGTGCATGTCTCTTGTCCAGTTACGTTTTAAAACAAGAAGAGAAGGGAAGACACTGGATTTCTTGTGGTGTGCCAGCCGTGCCTCCTGCTCTGTCGGATCGGAGCCAGCGGGCTTGGGGTTAGAGCTGTAACTTGTTAAGCAGTACAGTCCTTAAGATGAACATAAGGTGCTTTCCTAGTGCTCTGGCACGGTAAGATAGCTTATTTCCTTTCTGCCAGGGGAGCTCCTGCCCCGGTAACCACCACAGCAATGCCAGCATTGTGTCCCTTCTGCTTGTGCTGCCTGAACTGTGTCTGAGTAGCTGTTGTGCAAAAAAAAGGCTTCATCTAGAGATCTTGCAGCTAGATTGTCTAGGAAGATGTTAAAGATCGAGGAAGTGGTGCTGGGGTGCAATAGGGGACACTGGTGCACATCCAGCAGCCTGGTTTGGTGCGAATATTTTGTCTGAGAGATGTTTCTGTGTCACAGGGTCCTGCTGTGGTTTGACAGGCCCATGAGAAATTGAACTTAGGCATTTATGTTATCTTACTGCCACCATCCCTCAAATCAAGAGCATCATCTGAATAAGATGATGTGTTGTCAAGAACGTTAAAAGGTGACGATGAGGGAAGCTGATACAGAACTGAAATAATTAGCAGTAATTTCTGTTACACTGGGGTGGAAGATATTTGCATAAGTTAGTTATTGACAGAGTTGCTTAGGTTCCATCTCAGCTAAACTCTCCCTGAGAAATTCTCTCCTGAAAGCTTATGACTCTTGCTTGAGCCAATAAACTGAAAACTGCATCCAAAACGATGAGGTACGCCTTGATGTTACAGAATGCAGGGAAAGCTTCCCTGTGTAGTGAAGCCTCAGACAGCCTGTCGTTCCATGGTTAACTTGAAAGTTGATTATATTTAAACGTGGACTGTTATTTTATGCTTCATCACTTTAAGATAGCGCCTTCCAGGGGCATATTCCAAAAATGACAAGGTCTGAACAGCATGTCCCTAAATTTCTAAACATTGTTCTGATAATAAAGGGTCAGTTTCCCCAGGGTGAAATCTGGAGAAGGAAGGAAGAAAATTTTACAACGCTAAAGAAGGTAGTAATGGGAACTTCATTTTTGCTTGCCATCATTTTTTGATTCAGCTTTAAGTATTCTGTATTAAAAAGTGACCCTGGAAATTTTTAGAAGTTTACCGAAGACTTTTATTTTTCTCTTTTTAGATGCAGAGATTGGCTGGCCTAGACTGTTTAGGAAGCTCTGAGCTCACTGATGTTGATGTGGCTGGGAAAGACTAGGGACACCGCAAATCTAGGACTCCAGTACTGAAAACTTTGTACTTTTAAACGCGTGCATTGCACCAGTCTAACTTGTAGCTGCATGAAAGCCTCGTGCAGCGATTGGAGGCAGCCAAATGGCTCCTGGAGATACGGCGACGGTTCTGTTATCTGCAGCAGCTTTACTGTCCCATGAAAAGTAGAAGCGCCACAACCTGACACTTCTCAGCTGTGGAGCTGGCTTGGACCAACTCCAGAGCTTGTGGCCAGGTGGCAGCTGTGCAGGCTCGGTGCGGAGGGATGATAATAGCACGGAGCTGTAAACAGGACGCTCCACCCTGCCTCGGCACCTCTCATGCGCCCTCCTTCTTGCACCCGAAACGCCGCGCTGTGCACGCAGCCTGTGCGCAGTAAGGAGGGGCAACCTGCTTCCAGCAGCACCCTGCCCTGCATCTCCCAGCTGCCCCCTGCCCTTCGGGCTTCTCGGTGCTGCTTAAAAACAAACTGAATTGTTTGGTAGCAGAGTTGTACTTCATGAAAAGGAGCGACAGTTCTTGCTGCTCGTACATTAATAGCTTTAGGCGTTTGTCAGCCATCATACGCAATTGATGCAGTTGTCGCCGTAGGAGGCCATGGCTCCTCTGCTCTGGGTCATGTCTGTTCTCGAGGTCCTTTCAGGCTGGTTTCGACTGTGTTGCCCTGTTGAAGGTTTGGAGTACGAAGGTGACGCCAGTCACGCTGGATGCGATGGGTATATCAAAGGGGGCCTCCTGGAGAGCTTTGCGTGCTGTCAAAGCAGCATGGGAGAGGGGCTGCCCTATTGCAGCAGCGTTGAGTTCTTCTGCCAGCAGCCTGCTTGGGGAGAGCAGTGAGAGGAAGAGACGGCTGAAGTCATACGTAATGGAGCTGCAAGTAACATAGCCTGTGGGGGCAATGAGGCACTGAAGAGGAAGCTGCAAATACTAATGAGTTTCTAAATTAGAGTTAGTGGTAGCTGTCTTACTGTTAACTGTTGGGAGCAGGGAGTGTGCCTTGAAATGCCAGCTGGACCCAACACAATAAGCCTTTAATCCAGTGTGGACCTTACGAGGTGTGGCTGTCATGCAAGGACTAATGCTTCTCCTGCCCTCCCACGTGGCTTCTTGTTCCTACCCTTCTCTCACCTCGAACTTGAATTCCTCTGCTCAAATGGTATTTTAGCTGATAAAAAGATGTATTTAACAGGCCATGTCCCTGGAACAGTCTCAGCCATGAGCCTGCAGTGGGTGCCGCAGCACCCTTGTATACAGAGGTACTTGTCAAACACAACATAGTGCTTAACAGTTTTCATGCTGGTTTTAGTGTGGTTAACTCGCTACCTGCCTGCTATGCCCGTGTTTTGGGGAGGAGGAGAGAGTGTCTGTACACAGAGCACCTGGAGCAGAGAGCTGCGCATGGCCTTAGTATCTTGCCAGGAGGCCACAGGGCTGGTTCTAATGTGCGTGGTAATTTGCACATCTAATCAAAAGGAAATGCAAACAAACTTTCCTGCTGGCTGGAACTTGCCTCTTTCTTGCTACCTTTTTGGTTTTGGTGATAACACCTTTTTTCAGCTGCAAGGGTGACGACAGGGCTGCAGAAGAGGGCAGCTGTGCCATCTACCTATGGGCTGTGTGTTGGTCACATCTAGTTTGGAGCTGGCCGGGATGCGATGGAGGAGATGGGGAAGGCAAGCAAAGTGTGTGCTCTATGCCTCCCCTTGCTGTAGCCTGCCAAGAGGGACGCTTGGCTCTCCACCCTTATGCTGGGGTTGCACTGGTGTGCATCATTGCCGACACACAAACTTTAACTAGTCTTACCTACAAAGCTTTTCTGTTAATCGTGTTTCTAGCTACCGTGACAAAAGTAATGTCTGAATAGGCAGCGAGGCCGTCCCATGGAAGCTGGGCGGACCCAGAGCTCCTGGATTTGAGCTCAGGCCCTGCCAGCGATGGGTTATGACAGTGAGCAGGTTGCACATCTCCCTTTCTGGTCCTTGCTGAATGAATGCACACACACCTACTAATGATGCCAAACACCCGCGTAGTCCCACTGGAGGATTCAAAACTTTGCAGACTTTCTCTTGGCCTCCTTGAAACTGGAAGCGAGCAGCAGCATGCTTCCTTGGGGGAAGCTGAGGCACACAGGCTCCCTGTCGCTGTTGGGTCTTACCATGGGTTAGAGCCTGGGTTCTCTGACTAAGCACCGTGCTCCGGCTAGTAAGAAGTATGGCCTTACAGACAGCATAGCAGGGTTTTTTCCTACAGTGCTCATGCAAAAGCATTGTGGACATGCTGAGTGTTTCACTCGGTTGTGTAGCAGCTCCCTCGACTTTGACTGGAATGTCTAATCAGTGGCTTCGAACAGCCACTTAAGGACTGCAATAAAACCTCTGCTTCTAGAGGAGCAATCTCTCGGTGATAAGCGTGAACATGGCTCTCCGCAGCAGAGCGGAGGAGTGAGTAGGAGGGCAGATGGGGCAGTCAGTCCACCAGCCCTTGCTGGCCCACTCTGCTGAAGTGGTGTTTCTGTTGCTGTTTGTTTTCGATAGCTGGCTTTGAAGCAGCAAAACTGCCCGCGCTGTGGCTGGGTAGCAGCGTGGCCTTGGCAGGGAAGAGCTGCTGCTGTTGCGAGAGTGGGAATTCACTGGGCATGTTAGAAGCAATAGGACTCTCGTTTCCAAAAAGTAAACGGACTTCTCCAGTGTGTATGTGCTAGTTCCCTTCTTGCAATCTTTGCGATGGACGTGGGCTTGTTAATTGTGATAGCTGTTGCTGAATCTTGGCTTTGGAAGTCTAATTTTATTTTCTTTTCCCCCTTGTCTAGCTAGCGTTCCCTGTGCTGCTGCTGTTGAGAAGACCTGCCGTCCCCGGCAGCCCCATGTGCGGCGCACCTCTTCGCTAGACACCATCGTGGGCTCGTACCTGTTGGGACAGTGGCCGCGGGACGCTGAAGGAGCTTCCATTTCGTGCATGAATGACAAAGCTACCCAGGTATAAACGCCTGCAGACTGCGCTTGAAGCCGCTGGGCCAGGAGAGGGTTGCAGAACTGAAATGAGCTGTGTAAACTGGGGGTGAATAGGGAAGGCATTAAATTTCCATCCGTCCAGCTGCAACTTTCTAGGAAGGCTTTTTTTCCCCTTTTTGCTTCTCAGCTTCAATTGATTCCACTTTGGTGCAGAGTTAGAATTTCCTTGGCCTTGTTTGGAGGCAGATGGCCTCTGGCTTTCTGCTCCAGTACTGGCTCAGCGCTACTTTTTTTTTTCTGGCTTGCAGTTCTGGGCCAAGTCCTTATACAACATTTGCGGGCTGTGTGCCACACGCTGCGAGAAGTCAAGGGTGCTCCCGCAGAAGGGCTCACTAGCACGAATGGCGCGGCTCTTTACTGTAGAATGGAAAAGCTCCAGACCTCGAGGAACTCTTAGCAACCTGTAAATATTACTGCATGGCAGCAAATAGTGCTTGCCTATCTGCAGAGGTGAAAGAATTTAGAAGGATAAGAGCATCCGTTTGCTTAACAGGTTGTTTATTTAGCACATTCAATCTCTATTAACTTGCTGTTTGATCTTTGCTATTCAACAATTTATTACTGGGTTGTTTGCAGGAAACTCTCAATTGGATTCCAACTTCCATTGTCCTTTTCCAAAGTGTTCTTGCCTGCTTTTGTTTCAGTTCTGGTGCCCAAGAGTGCTGCTGAGGGCAGAGGGCATGCTGGAAAGGAAGGGAAAGAATTTGTCTAGCTTTATTTCTGAGTCAGGGAAGCACTCTCTTCCTTTGTGTCTTCATTGCAGTGGTGGGAACACTTAACCCCAGTGTTTTGGGGCTAATTAGTTTTTCTTGCACCTGGCCCTTTTGGGGACAGGGTTGGAGAAGAGGGGCACCTCCTTCTTCCTGGAATGGACAATACCACTGTGTTAATTCAGGCTCTGCTGAGCATGGAGCTGATCACTCCTCTCTGCAGTGAACAGGCCAGGTGTGCTGCAGTCTTTCATCAGTTATCTGCAAGTGTCTTGCAAATGCTAATTTTACCTTGCAACATGCCTGTGAAATGAGCAGTGGTCTCCACTGTTTCACACACAAACGTCTGTGTGTCAAATGACTTGTCTGTTGAAAGCTGGGAATAAAGTCCTCAGTTCTAGACTGCCCACCCTGTGCATTAACAAAGTGTTCCTCATCGTAACCTCCAGGACTTTGCTGCTCCTTCCATATTTTCAGGCTTAATAGTTATCAAACTTGGGACTTTCTCTGCTAGCCAGTACATGTTTACTTCCCTCCTTATTCAGCTGCCCATCAGCTGTTTTGCAGAGCTCTGTAGATTTGCTGTCATGAGGTGGTTAAGTGAGAGATACAACTGCAGGTGCTCAGTGTGGGGGTGAGGATGGTAGCACTGTACATGATTGGAGCTTGTGGCTTTATCTTGCTGTGCAAAGCGTTTTTTTGTCTCCTTTTTCTGAGGAAGCGGTTTTGCCACAGTTAGTACAAAAGGTTCTGTAATTTCCTTCTGCCTTGACGGTCTGCCCGTGAGAGGTGGGACATGTATGTGCTCTTCATTTTCGGGCCTTCCTATTGCAAGCAGCGTCTTTTCTTCCTTTTCAGGCCCTAGGGTTTTTTGTGAGCACTGGTGCAGTGCTCAGTGCTCTGGGTATCATGGCAATAGGCTGCAGTGAGTGACTTCTCAAACAGGGCTCCAGAGGCTTCAAGTGACTTGAGAGTTTCTGTCATGTCCTGCAAAGCAGGGCTGTTTTTAGCAGCTGGAGTGCAGCTTCCCACAGACTTGCCTCTTGCAGTAATGTGGGACAGGGCTGCGGTCTTGTCTCTTAGACCTTTGCCTCTTCTCCTTAGCTTTCTTATGTGTGTGATCTACTGGGATACAAAATGACACAATGTTTTGGGATAACGGCCAAATAATGATGTTTGGGTTGTTTAGGAGAGAATATTTGAGGTAGGAAATGAGATCAGATGTGCCATGTGCTGAAACTGCAAGGTTGGTCTTTGCCGTAGGACTTCCCAGTGCATTGGTCTGTTCGTCGGCTCTGTCTGGCCCAGTTCAGGGGTAGCACAGGGATGGCTGCGACCAGCTGCTCTGAGCTTAGCAGGAGCTCAGAGCAATGGTGCAGGCTGAACGGATTTCTTCTCTCAAACCAAGCTGAACGCTGTAAATCGAATAGAACAACTTCTGTGCCACAATGTCTGCTGCTTACAGGCGTCGCAAAATGGAAACCTAGACAACAACTGGTTTTAGCTGTGAGGAACACAGTGTGTTCTGCTTACAGCGGTGTGTGTAAGGAGGGGTTTCATTCAGAGCCTGGTAAGTCAGAAGAGGGTTGGATTTCTGCCTAGAAATCACCTGTATCCCTTTACAGAAGGGAAACCCGGTACCTCTCTAAGTAACTTGCCTTGTTCCTTTTGGTTTAAATAGATTTTAAAACCTGTTTTCTATCGTCCTCGTGACTCAACAGGGTTGTTTAAAACAGCTGCTGTTCTTGCAATAGCCTCTGGGGAGATCAGTTAAGCTGTCTGGAGAGGAACTGTTCTCAGGCCCTTGCACCTTCTGGCAGCCTGTCGCTGAGGATGGAGGAGGGAAATATCATCCAAAGCCTCCCACAGAAATGGCAGGCAGCAGTGACACAGGGTGAGCCTTTTGAGAGGCACTGAAATGTGATGTTGGGAAAAAATGATGTCTTGTCTTGAAAATGATGTGCCTTGGGACTGCTCTGATCCTGGAGTCTCTTCCGAGAGGGCTGAGTTCAGTGGAAGGAAGTTCACACCCTTTGCTGATCAGATTAACAGCCCTTTCTGATTTCCATTGATATTCAAAATGTAGCTGTTCCTTGGAAAACAGCTGTGTAATGTGGTGCTGAGGCTGTTTTTCTGCATGGAGAGAGTCAGCTGAGAACTGCCAGCCCTGCAGACAGAGGGACGTGAGCTGGAGAGGCAGCTGGGTTCTTCCAGCACTCCAGCAACAGCAGCAGTCAGTCTGCAGGCCAAGCTCTGGTTTTGGTTACGCCTTTGAACTCCGATACAGGAGCCTGAGGTTTCAGAAACAAGTTGTGTGTTCTCACAGTTGGGTGAGGCTTTTCCTCTCGGTAATGCTTCTTCGTACAATGAGTGCCTGAAACCCTACGTCACCGTTCATCAGATGGGAGCCTGTGCAAGCAGCGCAGGGGCCGGTTGCAGTTGTTTCTCTGGGGTAATGGTTTGGTGCCCTTTATCTCGCCAGGTACTTGTGGTGATTAAGCCACTGACTCCTGGGCAGGTCTCTTGCCATGTAGGTCTGTGAGGTCTGTTTCCCAATAGGCACAAATCTGGCCAAAGGGACTTTGTTTTGGCAAAGGTACATAGATGGCTATCTCTCAATGCACATTACTGAGTATTGTATTAACGGGGGGGGAGGGGGGGGGAGACTGGAACAGGACTGTGAATGGGCAGTAGTTGATCACTTATTCTTAGGACTCTACCACCAGTCTCTAAACCAGTGAATGCTGTGATTATTCTCAGCCATGTTTCTCATCACTTCAGACTCCAGTGTCCTGGCATGACGTGGAAGTGGGGAAAGCCAGCTCCGGTGCTCACAAGCGTTCTGCTTCTTGGGGTAGCACAGATCACCGCAGAGAGGTAAAATAGACCGCTCCCAATGCTTGAGCAAGATCTGTGTTAGTTGCTAATGTATAGGAGGCTCCTGCTTGCATGGGAGGGAGTGGGAGGACAGGGTACTATTGAAGATGAGGCCTTAGCCCTTGTTCTCATCCCTAATGCTCTGTCATTCAACTAAAGACTGAATGTTGTTGGCTTCCTCTAGCAGGCAGCCATTGTAAAGTAGCTCCACTGAAACTCAGTGCATTGCCTGTCGGTGTCGTGGCGTACGTGGGTCCCAGTGGGGCCTGGTTCCTAACGGTCTGTAGGTGGAAGATAACCCAGGTGCAGTAGAGGATTCTGGCTGCATCGCAGCGGGGGAGTTTGTGACGAGGCCTTGCGAGTACTTCTGGTCCATCCTTTGAGAGGTGGCCGGAGCTGCTGCTTGTGTGATTGAAACAGTCTCTATTTTGGCACTTCCTTGTGGGTTGGAAGAGAGGGGCAGGAGAGGGACAAGGCACGATCCTTTCTGGTGGAGGCGTGTTGGCTTGTCTGTTCTGTAGCTGAAACTTTGTTTGCTAGATTGCCAAACTGAAGCAACAGCTCCAGCGAACAAAGCTAAATGGCAGAAGTGGCAAAGAAAAGGAGAAGAGCTCCCCGCTCCAGGGGGACCATGCTGTCCTCGGATCGCTCCGGGTATGTTCACGTCTCCCCCTGCTCTGCTGTCACTGTATGTCCTAGCGAGGTGGAGAGCGAGCGCCTTTGGGCAGGTGTCCGAGCTCTTCTCAGACTTCCGCTCTTGTGCCTGAGAAGGGAGAATTTTTTTCTCTTCTTCTCCACCTCTTCAACCCTGTGCTTTGATCTGCAGTTAGTGAGTTTACATGACTCTGCTGTCAGTCTTCTCCCGTCAGCCTCCTGGAAGGCTTTGGCTGAGCCCTGGAGAGCTGTGGGAACGGGATGTAACTGCTGAGCTTGTGCCGATAGAACTAACTCCTTTGATTCTGGATTGTTACAGGACTCTCCTTCAGGCTTCCTTTCTCCATCTCCCATTTTGAGGCTCAGCCCCTGCTTGCATAGGAGCTTGGAAGGGCTAAACCAGGAACTGGAGGAAGTGTTTGTGAAGGAACAGGGGGATGAAGAGCTTTTGCGGGTACGTGAAGGTCACAAGATTGCCCTGAATCTTCTGGGTGGTCTTGGAAATCCTTTCCTCTAAAGACACTGCCTGTATCTGTTTCTTGGCCACGGGGACGATCCCTATGTCTAGTTTTAGTTCGTTCTAGTAACTGTCTAAACTGGGTCAAGTGGCTGCTGGCTTCCCTCCTTAAAATTTGCTGGTGCTATGAGAGATGAGCCCGTAGTCATCTCAGGATAGATGACACCTCATTGGCAGCTTAAGACACTGTCTTAGACTAGCATCCGAAGGCCACTTTGTGCCGTGCAGATGTGGGAGCAGTGATCCCAGACAGCTTACGAGCTGAAGTGCGTTACAGGATACGGAAGGGCCGATGTCCTGGTTGCAGAAGGCTGCCTCGCTCCCTGAAGTGCGGGCTCTGCCTGTATCAGCATCCAGCACCCCAAGTAGCTGCTGTCTGTAGGTGCAACTGCTGTTAAACCTCTTCGCTGGGGGCAGGGGTTTCTTGCTCCTCTAAGACTTTGCTTCCTCCCTAGATATTGGATGTCCCAGACGGCCACAGGGCACCAGCGCCTGCCCAGAGAGGCTCTGGAGATGCGTCCCTGACTCTGGAGCCC